AGCATTGTGTTCTTTTAAGTTCTATCTATATGGGATCAAATTGACAACAGCAACTCAAAAGATTAGATAGGAACCTTAGGGGCAGTGAGTTTATGTTACGGGGGAGGAACAGCTTGGAAAAGAGGGTGAGAATGGTTGTACAACTCAAACAATAAAATCAATATCACTGAATTGTACATGTAGAGTGGAGCCCTGGTGGCTCAGTGGTTAAGAGTTCAGCTACTAACCAACAGGTCGGCAGTTCAAATCCACCAACTGCTCCTTGGAAGCCCTACAGGGCAGTTCTACTCTGTCCTGTTGGGTCGCTATGAGTCAGAATCAACTCAATGGCAATGGATTTGGTTTGATTTGGGTACATGTAGAAATTGTTGAATTGGTGTATGTTCTGCTGTGTTTTTCTCAACAACAACAAAATAAAATATTAAAAAACACCCATTGCTGTTGAGTCTGCCCCGACTTATGGCGACCCCATGTGTTACAGAGTAGAACTGAGCTCCACTGGGTTTTCTTTTCTGTAAGCTTTACAGAAGCAAATCACCAGGCCTTTCTTTTGTGGTGCCATTGGGGGGTTGAACCGCCAAGCTTTAGGTTAGTAGACAAGTGCGAACCATTTGCAGCACCCAGGGACCTCTTTCCTCTTGCAGGATCCTAAATGTCTCCCTTGTGCATCTTTCCTCCTTCGCCAGCCGGTTTCCAAAGAGCTCGTCTCCTATCTTTTCTGCCTTTTTCTCTCCCAGAAGCTGTGCTCTTGAAGGCTGGGTATACTTTTAGGTTCCTTCCCTGTGGTCCGTGCTCTGATTTCCTGGACTGTTATTTTTTTTTAATATTTTCAGACTCAGGAAGGACTTAGTCTTCCTGATGGTGATTTAGATCAACTTTAAGCCCTGTTGATAGCTTTTTTTTTATTTTTTTTTATTTTTTTGCTTGTTTTCTGTTATTTTTCAAGGGAACATTGCAAGGTGGGGACCTAGGCGGCCACCGTTGTCTTCAGCCACCCAGAAGTCGAGTTCAGTTTCATCCGTTTTGGAATTTATATGTGGTCTCAATTCCAAGATACCCATCTTTCACATTTTCACATCTCTGACATCAGAGTGCATTTTACCGTGATGGCGTCTTACCCCTGGATTTATATGGGCTCTGCCTGTCACCTGGGACACTACCATCGCCTTGAAAACAATTTAAACGTAAAAGCCTCTGCTTGAGGATTTGGGGGCCAGGCTGGTCACGTGAATTCAGACCATGAAACAGGTTTTGTAGTTGGAGTTCTCAGGGGAAACCCTCCCCCGAGGAAAGCGGTTTTCCCCATGTTTCTCTCCACAAGGCAGGTGGCTGCAGGTGCAGCCCCTTGGGGGCCCAGCTCTGTGCAGGCTCTCCTGTTGGACTCCTGCCTGGAACAGTGTTTTCCTTTCTTAGACATGCAGGAAAGAACAGTGGCTGTGCCTAAAGCTACAGGCAGACTTGTGCAACGTGCGCTTTTCCGGTATGTTCTTTGTTGTCTGCTTTTTTTCTGTGTTACGTGTTTGAGATTCATCCTTGGTACCTGGAGTTGTGGTTCCTTCATTCTTGTCGCTGTGCAGTCTCTCATCTGATGAACGACAGTCGTCCTCTTTGCTGCAGGACACGTGGGTCGCGGCGTCTTTGGGACTCTGATGAGCAGTGTTGCTATGATCTCACTTACACGTGTGCCCAGGTGCACGCACACACTCAGGACGTCTCGGAGGGAAACTTCTGAGCCACACACAGTAGGAGTCACTCCTGCGAGGGAAGAGCCTTTACCGACTCGGTCGGTGCTCGATCCCTGGAGCCTGGCATCAGCTCCACCTGACGGTGCTGGGTACACACGTGTGCCGGCTGGGCGCCGAGGACGAGTGGACGGAAGCCTTGCCCTCTGCACACTCATGCT